TCTATTCTTGACAATAATCCGTAATCACATAATTTTATGATTAATGCATACACATACACATTTATATTTATGTATTTATTACAATTTAAATAATACTAAAATTATTCTCTTATTAAGTAGCAAATTATCAATTAAAGTAAAAACTATTTAAAAAAACTTTACCAACTTAATTTTATAAAGAGATTAAAACAAAGACTTGAAGCATTATTTATACAGATATTCTTATATTTAAAATATATATATTTATAAGTTTGTTGTCATAGACTTGTATTGTCAATATTTATAGATAGATATATAACCAGAAAATCTATTTTAATTGTATTCTATCTGATTTAAAAATAAACAATACTAACTATTTTGATGTATATAATATTAACCTTTTAGAAAAAGTAAGCTAAAACACCTACTTTTTACAAAAAATTTTCTTAAAAAAATAATGAGCCAACAATAATATGTAAGGTTCTTCTTGTAGGTTTTATCTATTTTTTAAACTTTTACTATACTTGACAAGACATTTTGGCTTTTAACAGACTTGTTTCCAGAATAACCTTTTTGATTTGGATATTAAATATCTTAGAAAATCTGCTAGAAAAAAAACTTGAGCCCCAAAAAAACCATTTATCAATATCTGCTTCTTAGTGTATTATATCTGTTTTTGCTTAAACTTTGTTAACAACAAGCTGTCTTTACTTTAGAAGCCAAGTTTAATATTGATCTTTGTTGCTTTTCTATATTGTTTTGCTATAGTTCAGTTTTTGTTAACAAAAGATTGTTGAAAAAAGTTGTATATAGATTTTCTTTTTTCTAGTAATAATTTCTTTTAGATTTTTAATATAAATTTAACCTTCATAGTATTAATTTCTATTTTTTATAATGTATTTGTTTTTTAAATTTTTTTTTATTTTTTACTTCAATTTTTTTTTCCTTTTCTATAAGAAAGTATTATCAATTTTGACAATATTCTATTGTAAAATGAAACTTTTGCCAAAATGAGCAGCAGCCAGCTGTTAAATCTGGGAAACAAAAGTTCTTAGTAAGTATTGGACCCCTGAAGAAAGCCAAGTGTTGCTAGGCAGGTCGCATCTAAGTTCAACATAGTTGTTTAATGGTTTACTCTAATTACAAGTGAAAGCTATAACAACTGTAAGGTAAAACTGGATGAGTTTAACTTTTGGTTGGGATAATATAAACTATAATTGTTGCATCGCCTATGTAATGGTTCAGTTTTTCTCTAAATAAAGTTAACAGAATTCGTCAAAGGAAAAAAAATTTGGATTATATTGATTTTGTGACTATAGAGAAGGTGACTATAGAGAGGTTTGACGCTCTTTTCTTTCGCACGTGTAAGTAATTCATGTCGGGCTGATCCGGATCTGGAACGATCAAAATTTAAACTTGCTAATTAGTATTACCGGCACAAAACCATTCAGAGGGTAACGGTAATCTGATTTACATGATCCGGGTACAGATACTAGCACCGAGTCCTAAGGTAAGGGTAGGGCTCGAATGCCTGAGCCATTTATAGGTGGTACGGTTAGGGTATCCGACCCTTGCGGAAGCACACTACGCGTTATGTCGAATGAGATAAAAACTTGACCGTCTGACACAAAAGACATTTATATGATGGCTAATTGCATTGATCCAAACATACGCATTATTCGGGACGCGCGCATTGGCATGTTATTTTTAAGTTGTACAGTTTTCAAAATAATGATTATGGGCGAACATTCTGTAATTCTAAGCAAAATCAATACGTATACTGAATTAGTAATTCTAATGAAAAAAAATATACTAAATTATTAATTCTTAATTCATAATTAACCAAAATAATCCAGCATTCTACTTACCATAAAATTTTGAAATAGCGGGCATGAACGATACTTAGAGTTACAACCAGAATTAAGTTTTAATTTGGGCCGTAGGGTAATTCAAAATAATGATATTTCGAGATTTTATGACTCATCAAATAACTCGAATTATTTAGTGAAGCCTGATAATAGTAGGATACCGGATAATACCGTTGTTGAATATGAATGAAACACCAATAACCTTAGTATCCATGATTCTGGTCCCTTCGGGGCCCAGATGAATTTTTCCGGGTACGTAACATTAAAAATGAATGTGACCGGAATAATAATTATTAATTCGATAATTAAGCAAAATAAACATACTAAACTATTAATTCTAATCAAGTAATATAAAATTGTATATTATATAATTATATGCAAAAAAATAATTGAACGAATAAAATATGTAAAACGTTAAGATATAGTAAGTATTTATACGTATCCATTCTTTGTTATCAATATTTAATAAATCATATATATCAATGTATGAGTGATGTTATAGAAAATTTTGAAACTTTTGAAAAATCGTAACAGTCACTTATACAATGACAACGACAGTCTCCTTAACATATTGAGCAGAATGGACAACTTAAAACTATCTCGATGAAGATGAAATTTATAAATAATTTTGTAGCAGTTAACTGGATTTAAACTGAAAATTAGCAGCACAATTTTTTTTTTTTAAAAAAAAAAAAAAAAACTATTTAGCGTGATGTAAGGGCATAAGAAAAACTTCGTTTATTCAAAGTCACCTATAATAAAATGTAAAATATGTTAAAATAATATCGATAGTTCGTGATCGAAAAAAAAAAAATCATATAATTGCGTTGGTGTTTGTCAAATTCAACGAGAGATTAAACAATAATAACAATAATAAAAGGAGTCATAATGAACGGGAAATATATGATCGACATGACAGTCAAATAATAAACAAGCATTAATGGGAAATCGAAATGAAAGATAAATATAACGAAAGAATGGGGAAAAAGTAAGCATACAAGAGAATACGAGAGAGAATAAGGGAGCATGGAGAGATAAGTACATATACATATAGAAGATAGCCATTTGATATCGTTCATATGAAAGTTTGGTTCTCTGCGAGGAAGTGCGAGAAATTAAATTGTAAAAAATACATAAATATAAATGTGTATGTGTATGCATTAATCATAAAATTATGTGATTACGGATTATTGTCAAGAATAGATCCACCCTAAAAAAATCGAATACGAAAAAGAATGAAAAATTCCACACACGAATAAAATATTCATCTCCACCCAAGGGATGAGTATTGCACGATTTTATTAGAAGTATTAAATTTAAACGAAGTGGAAAAATTAAATTAACAAATGAAATTGCTGTCAAAGCTAACCACCAAAATTGGGGACCAAGTTATTCAAATATAAAAGGAGAAGCGAAATCGAATGTAGATAATTTGACACAAAGATTCAAATAGTTCTTAAGGACATTAGAATAGTTTATTATATGTTTGAAATCTTTGGGTCGTCAGATAGAATCCTCGACGGTGTATATGGAACAGCAACACCAATTTGGTCATCTGTTGAATTTGAATTTGTATGCTCGCTGAACCGCTGCGATGAATCAGTAAGGTTATTAGACTGTTGGGACTGTTGACCAATATTCATGCTTATTTCAGATATTTTTGAATCGCCCATAGATGATGTAAGTTTTATGGCTTTTAATGCTATTACACCGACTTGATTTTCTGATCTAGATGAAGAATTAGGGAAAAAACTAAAAGAACCGGATTCATCTGATTTTGAGTCTTTAACAATTTCCTCTTCATGATAGTTTTGACGAGGAATATAATTTGGTGGTGGGAAAGTCGCATCTCTATAATAAATTCTATCCTTATGATTTTCCCTATTACTATAAACGCATTGATGTTATTATCTAATCGTAAAATATTAAAGTGACCAATGTATTATTATCTATACATACTTTATCTCATAAGCCAAAATTGTAACAATAACAACATTCATCGTGGGAACTAAAAAAAAAAAATTGCAAAATTTAATTTTTGATAATAACTATTAATGATATTTTGACGAATTCTCACCGATCAAGACCCACAGAGTAGCAAAAGTGAGAGATAAATAAACTGAAAATGTCAAGAAAAAGCCCCTAAAAATTGCAAACAGGAGCGATGATGATGCAAAAAAAAGCAATGCGCTTAAGAGGAGCGCAAGCACCCACCGTAACTGCAAGATAAAATTTTTTCCATGTTATATATATATATATATCAGTATCTAGTAATGTAAAATTTTGACAGGGCGCAAGATCGATTTACTGTCGCGTGATTCTCGGAAAACAAATGTTGTTAAGTTAAAAACTTTTATATTTGAGTTAGAGTTTAGGCTAAGGTTAGGAAGGACTATAGCATAGCAAAATTACACCAGGAAAATTTTTTGTTAGGATTCCAAAGACGGTTTATT